GCACGTCCTCAGGATGCACGCTGTCAATGAGAGTCAGAGCTGCCAACAACAACTCCGAGTTACCGCAGGCGTCGGTATCCTGCAGTATCATGCTGTCAGCTTCGATGTGCTCTTGACTCTCGGGATACGCGGTGATAAGTATCTCATGCATCCTCATGAAGGTCTGCAGGAGAGTGCGTGGTCCGTATTCACCTGGAGCAAGCGAACCAGGAGGTATAAATTGGGTCTCTGGTTCACCTGCAATGAAAGCTTGAACGAACGCCTGAGACTCCATATCTATTAAGTCTTCAGTAGTTTGGGGATAGTCCCCCATCAGAGTAGGCCTGTTTCCAGGCGGGATTTCGGGGGGAGGTTGGAGGTTGCGTTCAACCTCGGAAGGCGAGGCCTCTACAGTGATGTCCTCGTCACTGCTTTCGTAAGCCATGATGTTACCTGGGTTCCCGAACATCCAGTCGAAGAAAGAAAGAGGCTGGTTTCCCAGCGTACCGTGATCCACGGGAGTGAGCTCGTTGTTGCCAATAACGAACCGGCGGACGTACTCGAGGTAGTACGCGTACAATCCATGACCATACGCCTCGAGCTCGTCGACGTTGTCCATGCAACTGACCCAAGTGTAAAATATCTGCTCCATGGCTTCAAAATCCTGGAGGCTCAGATACTCAATGAATGGTTCACTTGAGCCAAAATGGACTTCGGTCGACCTGCCCTTTCCATTTCCCTTCGCTGGACAATCTCGCACAAGATGGTCGGCACTGTCACATTCGTGGCATTTAAGAACCTGGCCGTCTCTACCTCGCGGGTTCCCCCGCCTACCCTTGCCTTTTCCTGAGGTCCCTCCACGGCCCTTTCCCCCAAAGAATATCTCATCATATTGTTCATCTGAGAGCCTCTGGAGAAATGCCGCGATGCCTCGTCCGTTCAACCTCCGACGACCACGCTTACCTTTACCTTTTCCCTTAAAGCTCATCCGTATCCTCCTTCTAACACGACGCACTGGTTTTCGTGTGAACCTCCTCCACCTTCGTTTGGCCTGTTGTAATAACCCGAACAAATGTTCAGCACGCTGATTGTCATTATCCATATTCATAATATCTGACCAATATAAGGCTTCAACACCGTCTGATGATATAGTATCTGTGTCGGTGCCGGAGTCGAAATCCTCGTCTCCCAAGTAGGTGGATACACCGTCGGTTAGGGGGTTTGATTCACCCCATAAGGAACGGTGTGGTTGTGGTTCTCTGGAAGGAGGGTTGGTTGCCCAGCTTGGTTGTGTTCGATCTCCTGCTAGTAGAGCAGTGGATTCTCCAGGATCATCAGCCCATATGCTTGAGGGCCCGTTCCCAGGCTGGGCTTCAGTAGTCAAGGTAGTGTAGAAATTTCCACTACCAGATCCCCTTCCCCTTCCAAACACAGATCCTATATTGCCAGGAGACCGTTCGGATAGGTGGCCTATCGAACGCATCCTCTCCAGCAACTCATCATACTGTTGTTGTGTTCGGGCCATTTGGTGATTGAGTGGCTGTAAGAGTTGCGTGGCTCGCTGGTTGCCGACGCCTAAGGCGCGGAACAAGATCGTGGTTAATAGTTGGAAGTTGGGAAGGTCAAATCCCACCGACTGTGCCTCAAGTCGGGCCATTTCGAATCGTGCAAGGGTGACATCGATTCGTTCCCCGTGAGGCACGTGGAAGTCGATGAGTTGTGTGCCGGAAGTGAGCTGGCGCTCATCTTCCAGGCGCTCGAACTTCATGCTTAGGAGGAACATGATGTAGGTCACTGGGTCAGTGTGGACCCCATCGATGTCAGCACCATAATTTATAATGTCAGGCGGTACCCTCATGGCGAGTGTCCTCGCTAGGCCACCTAGGCCGCGTTGTATTGCGGCCGCTTGGGCCTGTGGCGTCATACGTCCGCTTGTGACGTTGAGCCATGCGTTGACCTCATAAACGTACTCACGGAAAAGGTACGTTGCCTTGAGGGTCCCAATATGGGCCATGTGTTTGCCCATCGGTGCTGTTGTCTCCACGACGCATGTGTCCGATTGCTGCCCCCAGCGCGAACCATATGATAGCGAAGATAACCAGCCCAAGGCTGTGTAGATAAGGGCGGTTATTAGGCGCGTTGCCGCGCTGGGGTAGCGCCTTGTCGAGTCTTCGAGGCGCTCTATCTGGCGGATCTCTCCGCCCGTGCTTCAGGTATTGCGTTTTTGGCTCGTTGCCGAGCGGTTGGTGGTAGCGCAATGATGAAGCGCATATGGTACCAATGTCGTTGTCTAGACGTCGTACCTCTCGTGTCGCTTCTTGCTCTTGGGTAAATCCTCGTAAACGTACTGGGAGTGATAGCGCAGGGTGGTAGGTGGTCACGAAGATCGTGCCGAAGAGTATGAGGCTAAGAAGAGCAAGAGCTGACCACACGAGAGTGCGGCCAGCTCCGCTACCAAGTCGAAGGTGAGCCTGGCAACTCAAATAGCATCCGCTCCCATGGGAATCGAATGGCAGAAAGCGTCCATTCCTCTGCTGCGGTGGTTCAATATGGGGAATGGGCGGGTATGATAGGATAAGATCGATGTATCGGTCTTTCCAGCACATAGCGAACACTAAGGTAAGTGTCCGGGCAAATAGCGAATACCATCAGGTATCCGGGCAAATAGCGAATACCATCAGGTATCCGGGCAAATAGGGCGCGCGTGCCTTGAGCCAAAGGCAACGGCGCGCGAGCTATGCTCCCGATGCTATAACATCTCCCAAAGAGCTACCCTCAAAGTCTGGAGCCCAAGGACGTCCATCGATGTTTGGTGCATGAACGCCACGCCCTTCATTGCAAAACCATCGAAACCCAAGAAACCCAGGGCACCCTGGAGGCGAGCAGGGTGTTTCTTGGCCTGGGCCTCCACTGTATGACCCCAAGGTCCCAAGAGTCCCCCAAGCGGCTCCAGGGGCATCCAAGAGGTCCCCCAGGAAGGCCCCAAGCGGCCCAGATCATTGATGTCCCCAAGGTTCCTGGAAGGAATGTGGTCTGTGCTTCTGTTCGGCCTTCCGACAGCCCAAGACGGCCCAAGATGCACCGACGATCGCGCCAAGATCGTTCAAGAGGCCTCCCAGATGCCTCCCTCCATGGCGGCCAAGGTGGCCCCAAGACGGCCCTCGAGGCCTCCAAGGCGCCCAAGGTTGCCCCCAAGACAGCCTAGAAACGCACCAAAAGGGCCCCACGTCGGTTCAGGGAGGCACCGTAGACGGCGTCCGTAGACGGCACCGTGGCGTCAGGCGGGCCAGAAACGCCGCCAGACTGCCAAATGTGCCCCCAAGAAGGAGGAGGAGGAGGAGGAGGAGGAGGAGGAGGAGGAGGAGGAGGAGGAGGAGGAGGAGGAGGAGGGAGGAGGAGGAGGAGGAGGAGGAGGAGGAGGAGAGGAGGAGGAGGGAGGAGGAGGAGGAGGAGGAGGAGGAGGAGGAGGAGGAGGAGGAGGAGGAGGAGGAGGAAGAGGGAGGAGGAGGGAGGAGGAGGAGGAGGAGGAGATAGAGAGGGAGGAGGAGGAGGAGGAGGATGAGGAGGAGGAGAAGGCGTGAGGGCGGGACTGAGAGGACGGGCGAGGGAGAAAAGGGGTGACCGCGAGGGAGGAAAAAGGAGGAAAGGCGGGGGAGGGGGAGAGGAGGAGGAGGAGGAGGAGGAGGAGGAGGAGGAGGAGGAGGAGGAGGAGAAGAGGAGAAGAGGAGGAGGAGGAGGGAGGAGGATGGAGACGGCACCCCAAGGTCCCCAGGAATCCCCCAAACGACCTCCAACATGCACCCTGGCAGCTTCCAGGAGGCCCCTCGAGTGCCCCGCGGGGCTCCCTCCTTCTCCTCCTCCTCCTCCTTCTGATCCTCCTTATCCTCCTCCTCCTCCTCCTCCTCCTCCTCCGTTTCCCCCTTCTTTTCGTGTTCCTCCACCCCCGCGTGTTCCGCGAAATGTTTCCACAACGGCTGGGGGAACGCACAATCCGATAACCTGGCCAGATTTCGGCCCAACGTTCGGCCGCATGGGTGGTTCCATCCGCAAGACGCGTTGCTAACCAGCAGGGGGCGGCGGTGGTTCGCCGTAGGCGTCTTCGATCCATCTTGCAGAACTGTGGATATACGCGTTGTCTTGCAACATACGATCCTGGCACGTTATGCGCCGGAGCTTGCGCAATGGGGAGGAGCAGGAGGAGGAGCAGGAGGAGGAGGAAGATGAGGAGGATGAGGACGAGACGCAAGAGGAGAAGGCGTGAGGGAGGGACTGAGAGGACGGGCGAAGGAGAAGAGGGGTGACCGCGAGGGAGGAGAAGGAGGAGAAGGCGGGGGAGGAGGGGGAGGAGAAGGAGGAGAAGGAGGAGGAGGAGGATTTGTTGACATGAGCTGCAAGGTGACGAAAGAAAGGCGGACGCGTGGCACAGCCACCAGGCGAGCTCCCACAAATGGGGAGGATCCCCAGTGTTGGCCCCCATGTCCACCTACCTCCACGGCATAGGCATTATCGACACGCCCTTGCGTGTCGGATGGATACCTTGACAAGTCTGTTTGAAAGACCAGGTCTGCTTGGCTGTGGGGTTGCTACATTATTTAGCCAGCCCTCTTACATAGCAAACTCTAGCATACGAATGGCACTTCAAGCAAGCTGTAATGAAGGAGCCATCCGAAACCAAACAAGAAACCGCTTGGTGCCCCAGAGCCCGCAGGGACGGCCCGTCGATCTTGGAGACACTGGGGCAGACCCCTCGAGGCGGATACTGGGGACCCTTCTGCGAGAGCAAGCATTGTTGGCATCTCCAGAACCCAGAACGTTCCCCGATGAGCTCCCAAGCCCACGCATGACCTGGCCCCTTCGGGGCTGGTACTTTGGGGGAAGGGGCCCATGGGCATACAGACAAATCAATTCTCGGCCACAAAGGCAGAATCTTGGCAACGAGCGCACAGACAGCCTGCCAGACACGGCCTGGAAATCCAACTGTTGAGCTTCTGCCACCGAAGGCCGCGGATGCAGAGATGCACCGGATGTGGCAGCCTTGTCGGCCTCGTCATTGTCCGTTCTCAGCCAGCGTTCTCGCTCTGAGATGCCCGCCTCTAGCGGGTCTTCATGGGCCTTAACCTTCGAGACTCCAACCGCCCACCTCCCGCCCAGCCGATACATCATCATAAGACCAGCGAAAGGCTTCTCATAGCTGAGCTGCACTTCGCTAGCCTTGCAGCAGAGGGAGACAACATTCTCACAATCCGAGCAGATGGTGGAGGGGGCTTCAACCTCGAGCCCCGCGCGCGCAATGCCAGCAAACTCTGCGCACTGCGACGTCTGGATAAATTGGGCATGCGCGGGCCCTGACAGCACGCCGAGCCTACGCCCCTCGTCAGAGATCCAAGCCAACCCGTAACCCGCTCTGGAGAGCTCGCTGATCACATGCCTGTGGCAACTTCCGTCGACAAAAATGCTGCCAGACAAACTGTCACCTTCAGGGGGGGGGGGGGGGGGGGGCTCCTCCCAAACCATCCGGGCCTGGAATTCACTGCCCTCATGGGAAGGCCGAGGGAAAGAGTCCCATGAAAAAAACACTTCGAAGAAACAGCGCCTCCTGGACAGGGTCGGACATATCCGCGTCAGCGGCAGCATTTAAAATGTCAGACTTCACCAACTCTTCACGGAAAGAGGCGACGCTCGGACAAGCCCACAGACGGTGCTGGACAGCGTCCCCAGGCTGCCCACAGAGCGCACAAACATCGGAGACCTTGTAGCCCGCCTTCTCGGCTCTGTCGTACGTCCAGAGAGCCTCGCGGGCCAGACTACGGATCGACCATTTTTCTTTGTCGGTGTACTTCGATGACCTCAAGCGGTTGCGAACCACGTCGCAGCACAGCCTCGGCTCAGGGATGGCAGCCTTGCGGGCAGCTTCGCGCTCAAGGCTCCTAAGCGAGGCGGCATGCAACATCTGTATAAGCATCGCAGGCGGAACAGCCGTGAGCTGCAGCGATTCCCCGAAGTCGTCGACGCAAGTGAAGGGACCACTCATGATCCAGTTGGTCCTCTTCAGGGAAAGCCGCAACGCTGAGATCGCACCTGGGACCTAACGCCAAGACGGCTCTGGGCGGCCAGCCCCGCCTCCCAGCCCTCGCGAAACTGGGCCCAACTTAGCGAATATGGGTAAGAGCGAGTCTGTGCTGCCCAAACCTCTTTGGCGCAACGCAGGATGGGGGCCGCAGTGCCCAGCCAAACAGGATCATTATGCACAATCACCGCAGCCGTTGCAGAACGACCCCCCCCCCCAGCCCCAGGGCGCAGCGCCTTACCGGCTGCGCGTCTGACCATCAGAAGTTCGAAATCGGACAGCCCGTTAATTTCCGAACCACGCATGATCCCAGGGAGGGCCCCAGATATCCAGATACGCTGAGTAAGTTTCCCAAGACTACACCGCATGCGCGTAAGCTTCGTGGTGCATGTCGGCAGGTCGTCGGCTCTAACCCTGAACTTGGCCCCGCGCCTAGCAGCGCGACGAGGTCTACCCCCAACGTCGCCAACCCCCAGTTTCACCGCGCTGTCGGTAATGGGGCCCGCCAGGGGACCAAGGTACTTACGCGTGGCCATGACGACCTCCGTGCTGGAGCTCACAAGAGCCGCCTTTTCACTGGAAATCGCGCAGCCACAGTCGTTCTCGATGGCGAAAGACGGCTGGGAACTGGCATCCTTCAAGCCATCGATGACCTGAGATGCAGTACCTACTGCCGAAACTCCGCCGTCATCGATATACGGATCGAGGTGAACCTTCGGGGAACCGCAGGTTAGTTAAAACCTCCAGGGTATAAACCTTCACGAAAGACGCGGCAAAGCTGCACCCTCCGACCACCCCGTTCAGGGCATAGAACGGCCCCGCGACGAAGCCCGCTAAGCACACTGAACGGACATAACGACACGCAGCTATGGCCAGCCTGAAAACCGAGGCGGGAAAGCCAAACATCTCGCAGTGCTGCTCTAGGCGGGCCAGGCTGATTGCTTCATCGAACTTCGAGATATCCCGCAGCAGAGTCGCCGAATCCTGACCTTGAGCTATACCGCCCCCCCCTAAAGCTCCGCCTCCAAACCGCATCGCTTGATGAAGCAAAAGCCTGGCCAGCATAGAAAATCCGCAGGTGGTTGGGCCCCCGCTCCAAAGCGAAACATCGGCGACACCTGCCCCGCAAGCGGTAGAGCGAACCGAATATGCCGATCGGCCTCCAGCCTCCCGAAGCCTGCATCAGCAGCGCGAGCTGCACCACTTGGAGTTGGACTGGAAGGTTCGATATCATTTCCAAGGCACAGGCGACGAGACAGAACACCTGCAAACAGTCCTCGCCCATCCAGCTGTAATGCTTCATATGAAACCATCCAGCTCACAAGCGGTACTGAGGGGATACTTCCTGGAGACACCTCGAACAGCATCAACAGACAAGAGGGGCAGGGGCTCCAGGAGTTCGGCGCGGCACTGAGGCCGAGGCTGGCCAGGCGCCTGCCACTGGCCAGAAACGATTTCAGCCTGACCACGGACCACGGACAGGGGATCCGAGACAACAACGCTCGAGGGACTCGAGGTGGTGGACGGTTTCCAGCCTGCCGCAGGCCGACGGACCAGGTGAGTTTTTCTCCCCCCATGTTCAATGTTGTGTCTCAACCAGCGATTCCAATCCTTGGATCCTTCGGTCCTGGCGCACTGATGAGCTGCTACCACCGCGGCGCCCAGCCACACTAAAATATCAGCAAGGTGAACAGGCTGGTCCTGCATGGGGCTACCTGCAGCGGCTGGGGCAACATACTGTCCTGACACTAAACTTCGAGACTACATCGGGCAAGCGAGGGGGCGAGGAAACCCTTGATCGTGCAACCTTCACCTAAACCTTCAGACTCGGCCCCTTCCAGGTCGGCGAAAGGGTCTGCAAACTCCGCGTCGAGCGACGCAAGCGTCGGCGCCCGAAGCTCCTGCTGCGGCTGCGGGCCAGGGGCGTCGCGAGCCCCCGGCCCCGAGCAGCCGTCGCCAATCGAACTAAAAGACGCACGCTCAACAAACTGCTTGGGCCCCTCAACGCAGGCCTGCCGAACGAACTTTTGGCAACGGCCCACCAGCTCTTGGCAGTGCGCGAGCCCGAGTCCGACATCGCTGGGAGGCCCCAGCAAAAGAGAGGATTTGACCCCGAGCTCCTTCGAAGCAGGAGAAGCCGCAGCCCACTTCCTGGCAGTGATGCGGAACCACTTCGTGGCGAACAGCTCAGGGCGGCGGCCTTTGCAAGCGTCAGCTTTGAAAACGGGAACCCACTGCAGTCTACGTGCGGGAGGGTGGCATGCGCAGCATCAGCGACCTCAACCTCAGCCAGACGGGCTCATCGCCCACGCAGACGGGTGAGTCTAGCAGGGGCACCCCCAACATCTTCCCCAGGCGCCGAAAAGTCAACCAAACCCCTGGCCACGTTGAGGGCCCTAGCCCAACGGGGGTGGGGGCGGCGTCCCGGGCCGCCAGGCCTCGCAGGCGAGGTCGGCGGGGCTCGCCAAAAGACAGGGCGTGCAGGGAACAAGCTGCGGGGAAAAGGGTAAGTTGCACAGGCGAGTGGGGGGGGGGGGTGCTGTGTGAGGTTTGAATCTCGCCTACAGCCTGAATGGTCTTATACATGCCAGACGTAACCACGAACAAGTCCAGGATTTGGGGGCCCCCAGTAGTCGCGCAGGCCCCCGCGCACTCTGGGTGAACCACGTCCCCCAGAAGCTTCTCTGGAAAACCGCCCCCAATGATACCGCCTGGCGCCGCATTGAAATTACCCGCGACCACTGCCTCGTTGGAGTACAGCGCGGCCGCCGCCCCTACAGCGCTGAGAATGTTCACGTTCCGATCCGCCAGGCCTTCAGAATGATGGAGGTACACCGGGCCGAAGAAGAAAGGGTGAGCCTCGCTCCCAAGCAAGTGCACCAACCCGCCGATAGCCCTATGCGGGCGCAGGATGGAGCCCTGTGGAAGATCATGAAATCCGAAGAAAGATCTGGCCAGAAGAGCAACCCCGCCAGAACAACCTTCACCTTTCCCAGGATAAGCTGGCGCGAACAGGCCTTTCCAGCCCCGTTTCGAACACCAGCCTGCGGCTCCCTTGCATCCTCTCTCCGCGGCTAAGTGGCGCCCCCTGCGCAGCTATCGCACGGGCCTTGGCATGGGCAAGCCATTCTTTACGTGATCCCCGCGAGGTGTTGTTGAGGGGCTCGACAATCAGCGATGCATCTCCTGGCTCGGGTCCGGGGGGCGACCTGAAGGGGCCAGAACCAGGGGCGACCGAGCGCGGACCAGGGGGGCCAAAACTGGGCCCCGCAGGAACGCCTTGTGACCAGGAATAACCACAATGAGCGTGGGGAGCTGCGGAGCCTCCCGAGGGGCAGGCGCCAGCATTAATTACAAATGCTGGATGCCCCCCCCCCCCCCCCCTCCCCCCCTCCGGTGGCACCTGCTGGCTCGCCTGCGGGAGGAGGGGGGGGGGGGGCGGGGGGGGGGGGCAAAATCCTGTCGCAACGGAGCCTGGCACTGCCATCGGACTCAGACGACTCAGCAGAAGAGCTCGAAACAACGGGCGACGATGAAGCCTCTGACGCGGCTGCCCCGCCACCGCCGTCGGGCGACGCCTCGGCAGCTCCTGCATCCTCAGCTCCTGCGCCGCCCCCACCTGCGAAGGCCTCCTCGACCCTGGCACGCTTGGGGCGCAGGTGCTTGAGCTGCTCTTGGTGCTCGAGCTTGACAGCGTCGGCTTTCTTCTGCACTTCGCCGAAAGATGTGATGAGAGCCTCCTTGAGCGAGGTCTGAAGATGCTGAACACGACGATATGCTTCAGCGCGCTCCTCAGGTGACCACTCGTACTCGCCGTCCTTCCCCAGCAGGCTGGTGATGCTGATCGGGATCTCCGATACCTTCCCAGCGAGGATGTCGGACACGTCCAGACTAGCCACATAATACTTAGAGTCGTCAGTGGGGCCGCCCACGGAAGCATGAAGCTGGCGAACGAGGTCCGCATGCGCCGACTCCGCCTTAGCCAGCTCGTCGCTCGCCTCCTGGACCCTCTGCCGCTGCAGCCCCAGCTCCCTCTGCAGGTTCTCGTACGCCGTGCATGCCTTGTTCGCCTGGGCCTGCCAGCCACGCAGCTCGTGGTAGGCCTTGTTGACGCGTCGCTGCAGAAGGGGCCTCCGCTGGTGCGAGCTCCTTCCTCTTAGCCTCGAAACGCCGCTGATACCGCTGGGCACCCTCCGTGTCGCCGAACTTCGTGAGGGTCTCGACGAGGCTGGCAAACTGGCGCAACTCCGCTGCTCCGTCTTCGGCCCCGCCGCCGCCACTGGGCGGCTGCTCGAACTGCGGACCGCTGCGGAGGGGCAGGGTGCTGCCAGGCCTGGGCTACTGAACGGTTGCGGGCTTGTCGTGGGGCGTGGGGTCCTGCCGAACCGACCTGCAGCGCTTGCAGTGCCACCACCCTGCTTTGTTCTTGCGGCATCCGCACTGGTCACAAGTCCACTTCCCTGGAGACGGGGGGGGGGACTGCTGCGCGACGTCCCTGACCACTTGGACCAAGGAGCACCGTCGCGCCAGCCATCATCGCGGCGACTCTGAAGAGCCATCGTGGGAGAATGATTCCTTGCTCTCACCTCGAAACCGAAGCGCTCAAACCTGCACGCGGATGGTAACAGCACAAGGAAAGACTGGCCTGACGGGCACAACACTTGCTCTGACCCAGAATGGACTTGAGAGGAGGAGGAGGAGGAGGAGGAGGAGGAAAAGGAGGAGGAGGAGGAGGAGGATGAGAAGCAACATGGGGAGGAGGAGGGCGAGTTCAGGGAAGCCTATTGCCTAGAGCCTGATGCAGTGCCTCTCTTTGAACGCCCAGGGCGTGACGAGGGATGGAGGAAAATAATGGGAAGATGGGTCGTCGAAGACGAGGGGGTGAACATGATACGAGGAGGAGCGAAAATGCAGATGACCACGACACGAGAAACATGAAAAGACATAGGAATACAAGTCGGAGGAGTGTGTGTGGGGGGGTGACGGTGGAAGAAGCTGGTTGGAATCTGCCAGCGCACAGGAGGATGAAGATGCTGACTGCTGAGATGGCGAGGTGGAGGCGGAGGAGGATCATGAGGGGATCTGGTGCTTAGGCGGCAAAGGATGATGACTAAGGGCGTGGATAATGTCGACGAGGAGGGCGACACATTGGATTTGTTGCTCTGCGCTGGACGGCAGTAGGCTGGCAGCCGATGGCTTCGGCAGACAGTCGCAGCACCAGCAGAAGTATTGGACAGTGTACATGCCAGATGGGGCTCCAGGACGTCCACGGCCAGCGGGTAGTGGACGGCGGAGCGGCGGCCTGCCAACTTCTCCCATTTGCTCCGAGGTGGTGATCTAGCAGGATGGAAACCGAGGCAACCTGAAAGTTCAATCATTTTGGATCGACTCTGCGCTCAGCGTCACACTGGCTCAAGTATTTACCAGCTTTCAACTATGGGTCCTACTTCGAATTGGATGCACCGTACCCTCTGGAACAGAGAAGCGGGAGGACGAGAGAGGAGGCCGTATGGGAGGAGAGAGAGACGATGGGAAGGAGGAGCCGCTGGCTAAGGAAGAGAGAAGGAATATGACGAGTATCCAGGCACCCGACGCCGTATTTCATTTCATGACGTGGACTCAGAAGTCTGGACCCCTTCCTGGTTGTATGACAGTCCCGAGAAGTTGGGTATGGGCCCCACGAGGCAGCACATAGCGTTGTTTCCGCCCGCCAGTTGTTTTCACGACGCGAGGGTGTCTGGGAATGATGAACACCAATCACAACTCGACGTGTGCGCGCGCAGCAATATGACAAACTGGCCAGCGCCGCACCTGAAGACGAGGTCGGGGGCCACAGACTGCTGGACGATGGCGGGGGACTCGTGTTCTGTCGCCTGGCTGGGGGGGCCGAAAGCGATGGAGCGGTTCACGATGCAGTGGGAGCACGCAAACAAACCAACAACCCTGAGATCCTGGCGTCGCAATTCTTCCACATCGGACGTTTTTGCCTTGATTCGGGCCCTGGGACTCGCACGTATCGGTCTGGCTCGAAGACTGCAGCAGAAAAATGGGGTCTAGGGCCCAGGTCATGACTTGTCGCGATGCTGCAAATTTTCGCAACGTCGAAACCAAAGGGGACGAGAATGGCACCGGGAGGAATCTGGAAGAGGCGGGGCATTTGGCCGATTCCAAAAACCCTGAGCCCAAAAATGTTGCCATCCCCTTAGGGCGCATCTTTTACTTCGGCCACTTTCCGCTGGCGGAGGCGGCCTCGTTTTACTTTCGCGGGCTCCCGCCGCCTTTCCGCCGCCTTCCGCCGAGGAAGCGATAGCAACTCCTTCTATCCTCGAAGGCAAGGGGACCTTTCTGGAATGCCTCATTTCTCCTGGCGCCACCCTCATGAACACCGCGACGCACGCCCAGCTAAAACACGCGCGGCTGGATCACTCGAGCGAAGCGGCGCACACGCGGGCCCCCGAGCCCTCCAATGAAGATCAGAGAGGGCATGCGCCTGGGGAGGTGACACCGCGAGTCGTCCACCCCTGTTGGTCCCCTGTGAAGGACAGAAGACACCAGCTGGGGGCCACCGAGTCTGGTGCGGGGTTACCTCGGAAAGCGCGCACCTGCTGTCGCCTCCTCTGCTTGGGCGCGGCGCGTGACCCGCGGACTCGCCCTCGGGTTGAGGGCACGTCCGCTGGACGTTCCAATCGAGCGAACGATTGGCCTCTTGGTCACCGAGAGCTTGGTGTAGGTCAACGGGCTCTGGTGGCTCGTTGGTCGGGTTGGGGGGCATAAGGGGGGTTGGGGGACGGGGAGAGCGTTGCAGAGTGCTGCCGTCTCGCTCTTGATGGATGGACACCCTGTACGCATTGAAAACAATGGGACGCTTAATAACATTCCGAAGCATGGAGTAGAACCTTCACACATAGTCAGGTGGCCGCTGGCACTCCCAACCCTCGCTTTAAGCCACGTTCCGCGCAGGAGACAACAATTCTCGAATACCCCGTGCCAAGTGAAACTCGGAAATACCCTGCTGCCACAGCGAGCACGGATTTGTTTTCCTCCCAGAGCCGCTATCGCAAAGCTCAACACCGACACAAACTCCAGCTGTTGAGGTTCCGAAGGCCCTGTGCTCGGACACGTTGTGCACCACGCAATGCAACCCACGCGCATTGAGTGCCTGCCGCATGGCGGCATTCTCGTATATAACAGCGTTAAGAGGCATCCCGTCCGAGACAGCAACGCACTCGCACTGAGATGGGACCCGACACTTGATATCGGATCGAACACATCATCGTCTCGACCTTGACGGGTCTGGATTTGTCAGGGCCGCTCTCACGGAAATCAGAAAAGCGTCTTTGGATAGGCCCTGCTGGACAGGTCCGTGATCTGGGCACGATTGTGGCCCAGCTGAAATGGTTCGGCTTGGTCTGGGCCAAGGACCCCGGGCCAGACCTGGGGCGATGCCGATTCAGACGAGCTGCTGCCAGACGTAGGGTAGGAGTTTTCCGCTGGACCACCCCCCCCGGCCCTTTGGGCGTAGGTGTTTCGTTTCAAACTTCCTCCCGTCTTCCCCCATTCGGGCCGGGGTCACTACAGCCGAAACTATGATCAAGAAATCCCATCAGCCCTCTGGGCGCAGGTGATCTAGGGCGGTTCCTTTTCCAACCTCCTTTCCTTGCTGGGGAGGTTTACACCCCCTCCATACGTTTGGACGGGGGGGGGGGGGGGCGACCCATAGCAGCGTCCAAGATGGCCCAAGATGGTTCCAAGAGGGCTTCAGAGAGCGCGAGATGGCCTCGAAGATGGCCCAAGATAACAATAAATGGGTCCAGCCAGCCTCCGACACACGTCCAACAGGCCTCACGACGGTCCCAAAACTGTTTCAAGTGCTGTCCGAGGCCTCCGAGGACCCCCCCCCCCAAAAAAAGAGCCACAATCCCCCAAACACCTAAGGACAACTACTGTGTTTTTCCTTATTTTTTCTTCGCCCCCGATGGGCGCTTGAGGCCTCGCGATGACCCCAAGACGGTCCAAGATAGCCCCAAGAGGGGCCCAAAAGGGCCCCAAGACGGCCCCAAGAGCGCCCAAGAGCGGGCCAAGAGGGCCCCAGGACGGCACTGTTGAGCCTCCGATGGGGGGTCCGAATTACGGACCCCCCCTCTTTTTTAGCGAAAGGGTCCAAGACGGCCCCGAAAGGCCCCTCAGGCATCCCTGAAGAGCCCCAAGAAGGCCCCCAAACCCTCCAAACGAGCCCCAAGAACGCCCCAAGGTAACCCCAGCAGAGCCCCAAGACGGCGCCACTATGGCATTACGAGTTTATCTTCCCCTCGGTTGGATCTATGCGGCCTGAGTCGGCCCCAAGAGGTCTCCCAGACCCCCAAAGAGCCCCAAGATGGCCCCAAGACGCCCCAAAAGAGCCCCGAGAAAGCTCCAAGAGAGCCCTAAGAGGACCCCAAGAGAGCCCCAATAAAGAGCTCCAGGAGGGCCCAGAGGGCCCCAAGAGAACCCCAAGAGAGCCCCTAGATGGCTCCAAATTTCGAAACGCACACGAGTTTCATATACAAATCAGTGCAACAGCCGTTACGAGTCATCGAAACACCCCTCACCCTTCATCGACACACCATCGCAACTTGCACGGATGTCCATCCTAAACTTCAACGCGAGGAACTATTTGCGATCCTTTTTTTTCCCCGGAAACGGCTGCGCGACTGAATGCGCCCTGCCGCCCCTGACTCACCAACTCCCCTGCTGATCGTTTCTGGATGGGCTGGTGGGGATTTTTCCGTTCGCGAGCGTCGCGGTCCAACCGCGCGCCGTTCAGAAACGAGGCAGCCGCGCCAAGCTCTAAATTAGGCACTGAGCACGCAGGAGCGAACTACGCTGCGCCTCAGGAGGCGAGAAAGACGCTGAAGGACAGGTCGAAAACGCCGAAACCGTCGGGGACCAGGAGGTAGAACTGGTCCACGTGCAGCGCCAAAGTGGCGAAGTAATTCATGCCCATGTCCTCGAAGGCCACGTCCACGTCAACGAGGGAGACAAAGACCACGACCGCGTGGTCGAAGAGGGCAAGCAACTTCGAAGGCGCTCGACGGAAAAACCGGATCTCCAGGAAGAAATCAAGAGCACCTGGTGGGGATGCCTGTTGTTCGCGAGCGCAAGCGGGAGAGCTGCGCGCCACCAAGAAAATGCCGAGTAGCAAAGACCTGAAGTACCGCGGCGTAAAGCGGGACCGAACGCGCGCAGCTAACAAGCGGCGGAAAATGCGCGGAACATGCACGGAAAGATGCAGGCGAAGCAGCGAAGCTCAACCGCCGTTCAGAAGTTGAGGGCACCCGGGCCCGACTGGCGGTGGCTTCGATGGCGCCCGCATTGCGGTAGCGTCACCCAAAACTCTGGTGGGGATATTGTTTTGGTCAACAGGTTCGCGAGGCGGGTCGAAAACCGTCCGAACCCTAGCCGGGCCGCGACTAGGCAGCAGGAGAAGAAGGCATACAAAGCGAGCGAGCGGGCAGCCACTCAGAAGGAGAGCCAGATCCGATACTCCCAAACCCGGTGGCGTTGGAAATCCTGGCGGCGACCAGAAGTAAACGCGGGCAAAATGGCGCGGCGGCGCGACCACAATCGCGAAGAGGTCGATCGCTCGGCGCGAGTCAGGCAAAGGCACCGTCAGAGACGAACTAGACCGACAGGCACACCCAAACGACATCCGCGAAGTAGGCGACACAAATGCCAAACCACCGTGTCGGCGCAAGAATGAAGAGGGGCAACCTCACCACCGACAAAACTGAAACAGCCGTATAATCTGTAACACTTGCCGGAAGCGAAGTCCATGCAGGAGAACGACGGCCAACGAGCGCACAGAGCCACACTTGCCGAACCCGAGGTCCAGGCACCGTAAGGTAGGCAAAGTAGCGAGAGACCCACTGGAGCCTTCCAGTCATCAGTAGGGGCCGACACCAGCCAGGTGCAGGCCAGAGGGCACCTGACCTCAGCGAATGTGACGCAGCACCATTCCCTGCGTGAGCCCTTGCATGAAATCCAGACCACCTGAGCGCCATTGGGAAGCAGCATTGGACAGCAAACCCCAGCCGCCAGGGAAGAACCATGCGGCACAGGAGGGAGAGCACCCTGGTGCAACAGCTGGCCGCTGTGTCATAAGGATGCTGGAGGGGAGGAGGGGAAGTGCACGCCGCGCACGGTAGGCACCCCAGCGCGGCAGCTAAACGCTGCAGCATTAAGATGCAGGAGGGAAGGAAGGAAGTGCACGCCAGGCACGCGGCGTGGGTGCAACAGCACATCGCTGTGGCGCCAGAATGCAGGCGGAGAGGAGGGGAAGTGCACGCCAGGCACGGTAGGCACCCCGGTGTGGCAGCTAACCGCTGCAGCATTAGGATGCAGGAGGGGAGGGAAAGAAGTGCACGCCAAGCACACGGTGTGAAGGATGCAGGAGGAGAGGAGCGGAAGTGCACGCCAGGCACGGCGGGCACCCCGGTGCGGCAGCTAACCGCTGCAGCATTAGGATGCAGGAGGGGGGGGAAGGAAGTGCACGCCAGGCACGCGGTGTGAGCTGAGGGGGGAGGAGCTCACCTTAACCCTGTGTACACTGACGCGCACGCCAGGCGCTCTGATTCTCTGGTAGGGTGCTGACGGCTCGCAGACGCCGTCGGCACGGGAAAGAGGCAGACGGCCGCGCCTTCGACGTCAAGGGCCCGACCTCGCCCGAGAGTGCACCCTACAGCGAGCGGCCAGTGTCGGCGCCCACGAGATCCCGGCCATCACGCGGGGGTGCCTGGCATCCCCTGTTCGCGCCGACGTGGTGTCCCAGGTGTTGTCCAAGCACCTGCGCCCAGTCGATACCCAGGCCCAATGAGTCGGTCATGGCCCCGGCGGCGGCCGCGGCGCCGGCGGCCGCGGTGGCGGCGGTGGCGGCGCCAGCCACCGCGCCCTCCGCCGCCGCCGCCGCCGCCGGGGAGCCGGCAGCAGCGGCGGCAGCGGCGGCAGCGGCGGCAGCGGCAGCTGCAGCGGCCGCAGCGAAAGCGGCCGTGACGCCGGCCACGGCGCCGCCAGCCGCCGCCGCCACCGGAGGGGAGCCGGCGGCGGCGGCGGCAGCAGCGGTGGCGGCGGCGGCGGTGGCGGCAGCGGCGGCGGCCGCGGCGCCGGCGGCCGCGGGGGCGGCCGCGGCGGCGCCGGCCACCGCGACCTCCGCCGCCGCCGCCGCCGCCGAGGAGCCGGCTTCGGCGGCGGCAGCGGCGGGGCAAGGCCAGCGCGGCGCCAGCCGCGCCTGCGGCGCCACTGGCGCCGGCGGCGCAGGCGGCGCCCGCGGGGGCCGAGCTGGGGCGGCCGCTGGCCGCCTTCGACGGCGGCGGCGGCGGCGACGGCGACGGCGGCGGAGGGCCGCCAAACCCGGGCGGGGCGCCCCGCCGCGCCGCCACCAGCCGCTGACGGCGGCGCAGCGCGGCCCTGGAGAGGGCCGCCCCGAGGGCGGACATGGCCCCGGCCCGAGCGCGCACCTGAGAGGGGCGGGCTTGAGCCGAGACGGCTTGAGCCACAGGGGGTACGGACCTGGTGGAGCGTCAAGAATTCATCATTAAGCGATCTGGGGCCGGCTGTCCGCAAGTTTCTTAAACCAATCATGGGTACATTTCCTGCTGTTGACGCTGGAGGTGGCGAGCCTGCAAGAAACTGGGCCAGATTTCTGGCAAGTTGATCAAGGAACGCTGGCCCAGTTTTTCGGCAGGAGGTTTCTTTATCAGATGCTTGATTGTATTGCTTCTGAATGATATACTCCCCTCCCCCACTGCATCGGCCAAACCAGAGCCGATGCATGGTCCGATAGCTTGGTGGAGCTCTTGCCACAACGCTCGGCCACATGGGCGATTTTAGAAGGCAGGGGGCGGCGGTGATTCGCCGAAGGCGCCTTCGATCCGCCGACCCCTGTGGCTTGCCACAAGGGTGCCTCGCGTGCTAGACCCTACTGGTTTTGTTTCGGTTCTTTGTCTAAAACAACTCTCCTCTGGGCCTCCGGTCCGCGCCGCCGACCTCCCGGAAACGGTGGTTGCCGTGCCTCCCCGACGGCCGTCTCGCTAGAGACTTCCTCAAACAATCGTGATCTTGGGGCCCAGATGGCCCAAGATGGCCTCCAAGACGGCCCTAGAGGGTCCAGGATGGTTCCGAGTCTGCCCAAGAAGCTTCCAAGATAGCCCAAGACGGCCCAAGAGGCCTCCAAGAGGTTCTCCAGGAGAGCCCGCAGAGGCCAACATCGTTGCTTTCCCCTAGGTGTTTGAAGGAGTTTGGCATAAGCGTCTTTTCTGTCTTCCGACAACCCAGGACGGCCCAAGAGGCTCCCAAGATCGCCTCAAGATGGTCCTAAAGTCCTCAAATATGACCTCATGACGCCCTAAGAAGCCTCCAAGACGGCCCCAAGAGGCCTCCAAGTTCGCCCAAGATGATCCAAGATGGCTTCCAAGACGGCCCAAGATGCTTCCAAGTCCGCCCAAGAAGTCTCCACGACGGCCCAAGAAGCCCCCAAGACGTCCCCAAGGCGGCCGCAGATGCCCCCAGAAGCCCCCAAAGGCCCCCAAGAGCCCCAAGGAGGCCCCCAAGAGGCCTCCAAAAGACCCCCAGGAAGCTCCCAGGAGCGCCCAAGAATGACCCAGCCCTCTGAAGGTCTCTTCCTCCTCCGCTCCCTCTTCTCGTCATTCTCCGCTTCTCTTCTTCCCACTCCACCTGATCTTCCTTCTCACGCGCCCGCTCCCCAAATGCCCTACTGATTCATTCGGGGTACGCATGCTCCGATGTTTACGTCAAGCTCGAGCCCGCGCGTTCAGTCACACGTACGGTCCGACAGGGCTTGTCTGGCGTGCTGGATGTGTTTGTTTGGTGTTGTTTCTTCTTGTGCAGGATGTTCCGTTGAGGTGCTGCCTCGCCCCAAGAGGTCCCGACCAAGCCTCCTAGGCGGCCCAAGAAGCCTCGAAGAGATCCTCTGGAGGGTCTGCCGAGGTCTCGGCCATGGCTTTCCAATTATGTTGCATGATGTTTGCATTGGGTCGGGCATGTCCCCCTACAGGCGGAGTTTGGGCGAAAAATGAAAAATAGTCAGACCATACTCCCCAATAGTGGACACATAATGGAAGCATCGTCCCCAAACTATGTTTAGACTATTTTTGAATATTCCTCCTGTAGAGGGCCCGCCCGACTTAATGTTAGCATGTGCTCTTTTTGGGCCTTCGGATTCGGAGGGTCTCCAAGAGGTCTTCCAGGAGGGTCTGGAGTGGCGCAAATCACTGATTCCCCAATCGGCGTTTGAAGGATTTGGGCATCTGCTTCTTTTCGGCCTTCCGATAGCCCAGAACGGCCCAAGAGGTTCTCCTCCTACTCTTCTTCCTTCCTTTCCTGATCCTCCCCCTCATCCTCCTCCAAATGTTCCCCCAAGAGTTTCCAGAACGGCTGGGGGAATACATAGTCCGATGACTTGGCCAAGCTGGGGTCCAACGTTTGGCCACAGAGGCGCGTCCCAAAAGGCAGGAGGTGACGGTGATTCGCTGTAGGCGTCTTCGATCCGCCGCCTCATGTTAGCTTGCCACAGGGGTGTCCGCTGTGCTAGATCCTGTGCTCGGCTTGGTCTTGGTTCGTTTTCTGAAAGAACTCTACCTGGGGCTTCGGCCCAGCGTGCCCGCCACCCGGAAAGCTTGCACACAGGTGGCCACAAACGGTTCTCCAGCTCTAGATGACTCCAAGATGGCCTGGTCCAAGATGGCCTGCACGACCACCCAATAGCGTCCAAGATGCCTCCACGTTTGGCCAAGAAGCCTCCACGACGGCCCCAAATAGCCTCAAGATAGCAGCAGGCGGCCCAAGAGGCCCTCTGACGAACAGCATCCGATCTCTTGATGCACATCCTGTCCTTAACCCTTTCTGCCTGACCAGTCCCTGCCAATTCGCCCAGACTCTCATCAGCGCCGCGCCGCATGGCCTGGGCGGCGACAGCGGCGAAGTCGGAGCCATCGGGGAGCCAAAGCCTCGAGGAGTGGCACGCCAGATATGGCGCAAAGAGGGATTCGCAGATCGACAGTAAGCCGAGACATGCGCGAGATGCAAGCCGAGCGCCTGGGGGCGACGTGGCCGCATTGCCGGCGTGTTCGGACTGCGCGTGCCTTCTTCATACGGTGTGGCAACCAGGCCTTCGATGAAACACTGGGGCTGACAGAAGGATGAAGGCAAATGGGCGTTCTCCAAGCTTCCTGAGCGACGGGGGTATATATATAAGTGCAGCTTCTGAGCCATCTGTAATTACATACTAGTCCTCGTACCTTCGCGACAGTCCGAGGTCGCTGCAGCAGGCATGATGCGAAGCAGCGTCAGACATTTTTTGTTTGGAGAGGAGGCGGGAGCGCGACCACAAAGCTGTTCACCCGAGTCGGCCTCGACCGCTGTGCGAATCACAAGGTCGCCGGGCAAACTGGGAACACCACACGAACCGCCGTGCAATAAGCAAGCTTATGCACTGAACCGTGGCCTGAAAGATGCTCGACCGTGCGACGTGCCGCAATGCTGCAAACGAATTAGGATGCGTACCAAACTCGTTCTGTGAACGCACGCCGTAACGCGTGAATCAACCCCGCTCCGCGAAGCAGCGTGAGACGAGCGGTCAGGGCATCGACTTCAGAATCTGGGGGCGTTGGCGTTGGCATCCGAGTCCTGTGGCTACCGAGCAGCAGCCGTCGCAGTGGGGGTCCGTCGCCAGCCAGCCTGTGGCCATCACCCCATGCCAGTGCTAGGTCGGACATGTCCTCCTACAGGCGGATTTGGAAGGACAAACTAAAACTACTCCAAAAATAATCAAGGATAGCAAATAAGCTCAAACAATCGTCCGCTGACTATTCTTGGACTATTTATGAATGTCCCCCTGTAGAGGGACATTTCCGACTGAATGCCAGTGCGTGCAGGAGAATATGGTGTCACAGAAGAACTGTGCAGATCAGCGGCCACCCAACTTTACTATAACATCTCCGCCAATATTGCTTGCTCGTCCCATTGGCACCTCCATGCTTTTTCGACCGCTGTCATTTTCTCATGGGGCTGAAGGCTTCTGGAACTCGCTTGTCCTGAGCCCTCCTCACATTACGTTCCGAATCTCACGGGCTCTTGTTTCCCAAATCAGTGAACTTCATGGGCTGGGGGAGCGGAGAGTTCCGAGGCGCGGTGTAATCCACTTCTCTAGATGTTCTTCGTATTCTCCACAAGCGCTTTCACCCAGAACGCTGCGTACCATCCCTCTGACAACTCACTGGGCTGCAAATTAAGCAGCGCGCCGAATGCAGCTGTCTGGGCCAATGGATCGGGTTGACGAAGCCAACCTAGCGCCAGCCGGGAGATCTGGAAGACGCGAGCAGACAAACATCGCAACGCACCCGAACGTGAGAAGGCGCAGTTGCCCGGCAAGGGGGGCAGTGCCAGAGGACCACCTTAGGAGGACCACCTTGCATAAAGACGTACAACAGAACACACGCACACACACACAGACACGCCCGCATCAAAGCTCACACCCACGCAGCCGCGCAGCCGCGCGCACACACATCTACACACTTACGAACACATACTCGAGCACGCACACACGTATGCAGGCGCACACGCTCATACATACAAAGGCACATAAGACACAGGCACCAGCAGAGAAACACAAACACAAACTCAACCACACAGCACACACAGTTGGCGGTCGCAGCCTCGCGCGCAGCGTCGAAGTGGAGTAGGTCGCAGCTGGTGCTCGCACGGCCGGGCCCTCAGTGGTATTGCTTTGAATCCCATGCGCCCCGCAGTCCGGGCGTGGATGGCGGGGAGGTGGCTCGCCGCAGGACGCTGGACCTGCCTGGCGAGGACGTGTCGCGAGGACGTATGGCAGGAGGAGAGCTACCAGGGGGCGGTGGAAGAGAGAGTGCAGTGATGGGCCGTGGGACAACGCAGGCCGGGGACCACTGCGGAGCAAGACAGCCCCACGAGGGGCGGGGAAAGGCCGCAGAAAACGGCTGAAAACGCAGAAGGAAAAGCAAATGCGGGGAGTGAGAGAAAGGGACGAACCCACGGCGAAGCGAAGCGTGGGCGCGCGCGGAGGCCGCAAGGAGGTGAGCCCAGCGGACTGCCCGCAGGGCGGCGCCATGAGGGGACGGAGAAAACAAGAGGGCGGATGGAAGAAAGGCCGGAGGCCTGGCCGAGTCAACGACGGGCTCGCCCTCCGCGTCCGGACTGGGCGCGGGAGGCGGAGCGCTTGCGCGGAGCAGCGCCGCCGTGCTCTGAAGGCGACGCTGGGGCAGCGCCAGGGGCGGGTGGGCGAAAAGCCCGGGCAACCTCCGGCAGGAGGGAGCGGTAACAAGGCTGCGCTGACTGGCCTGGATAGCGGCTGGCTCGAGCGGGCTTTGCCCGGTGGCGGGAGAGGATGACGACGAAGCGTTCTGCCCACATGTACCATTCATCACTGACGTAGTCGTGGTACTCGGAACCCTCTTCCAGCATGGCGGAGACCTGGGAGGCAAGGGCGTGGTGGCCCGCGCCCATGGCACTGGTCGGGACTGCCTCAAAGGCCCTGCTGGTTGTCGCGCGCTGTTTGGATGGCGGGTGCTCCATGGACTCGGAGGTCGCATCCGGTCGTGGCCGGACGGGGGGAGCGCCAGGACAATGGGGAGGCCTGGTGCCGATAGGGGACCGGGAGCCAGAGCGATTGGGAGGGGGCGGCGGGGGAGAGGCCCTCCCGTTGGCAGTGGCCGCCCGGTTCGAAGGGGCGCCCGTGGGCAGCGTCTCCTGCAGAGCGGATGCCGTCCGCCCGTGGGAGCGAGGGGAGCCACCCAGAGGAGGGCGCGCGGGCGCGGGCCGCCTCACGACTATGTGGGCGGCGGGCGGGGCGTGTGAGCTTGGTGCTTGGTGGGGGCCGCCAGCGCTCGCGCTGGCCGCCGCGGGCTCCCTTGATCGGGGGGCGCGGTACGGACATCGGGGAGCACGAGGTGCTAGAGAGGTGGGTGGGGGCATGGAGGCAGTGTCCGTACGTCGACGCACCTGGATGGTTTCGTCGGGTGAGGTGCCTCCGGACGCTCCGCGGTGTGCAAGCGAAGCGGCGGGAAGCCTGGGAGCACCGATAGCACTGGCGAGGTCGCGAGACACTGGCGACGGGGCCCATACCACGGGCGCCCTGGGCGCGAGGGGACTGCCCAACGCAGCGCACAGGCGCGGTGGGGAGGCAGAGGCGCCTTTAGGGCCGTCGGCACCCGAGTTGCGATGGCGGGGTGTCGCGGTGCTCCGCCTCTTCAGGAGGCCGACCACGACGTCGCGCTGCTGCTCGTCGACGTTTGGCGCCAGCCCTGGAGGCGTCCCGAATCCCGCCCGTCGACCAGGGCATGCAGGTATCTGGGCTACAGCAGGCGTGTGTCGGTGTGGACGAAGGGGGAGCCCATGGTGGCAGCCCGCAAGAGGAATTGCAGCGCCTGACGTCCTGGACGCGCCTGAGGAAGTCGGTGTTGAGGTAGGCGATCCTCTTGACGTATCCACGGGGCGGCCCCGAAGCGGGGTCGCGAGTGGCCGGAATGCCTCGGCCTTTGTGCGTGTCTCGTGGCCGAATGCGCGGCCGAGGAAGGTAGCAAGGTGCTCGTCGGAGCAGCGCGCAAGGTCGCCTTGCTTGATGGACAGCCGGATGCGGCACTGGCGCCAGAAACGAGCTTGGCGGAATCTGAGCTGCACGCAGGCTTGGACGACAGATACTTGGCGGTGCGCACAATGGGGGTGGAGTCAGGGGTGAGGGCTTCTTAGAAGGAGGCTGCTTCTTCGAAGGCGCCGGCCTTACGTCTATAGAGAAGGCCCACACCTTCTAAGAAGCAGGGGTGCTTCTAAGAAGCCCTCCCCCCTCCCCCCACCCCCCCTCTGCGCGTGGCTGAGATACCTCATCGCGCAGCGAGAAATCGCTGATGGGTGTCTGCGCGAAGTGGGCGAAAGGGCCAGCCTCCAGCGGTGGAGCGTCTGGGCCACCGTCGTGTCCAGGGCCGACGGGTAACGCTGGGGGGAGGTCGCGGCCCTGGGGGTGGGGCTCACAGCGTGCACATCTGCGACGGCGCGCAGCCCAGAGCATCTCAAATTCGCTCAATCGACGGCGCAACTCGGGGGGAACGAAAGGAGGGGATAGCAAATGGTAGGGTAGAGAATCAGCTCACGTAGCTGATTTTCCCAGCGCCTCTTGGCGGCGGGAGGCGCCCATGTATCGAGGAATGGGTCCTGCGGCGGGGCCGAAACCGGCTGCATGCAGCAGATTTCGTAACCCGCCCCGTTCCCTATCCCCCCTTTCGTTCGGCCCGAGCAACCGACGGGCGCAATCTATGTCGCAACCCCTCTGTTTGCAAACCATGGCCAAACCCACGAGCGCAACCCGGGGCACTCACAAGTCCGCGCCGTCCTTCGCACACCTGGCGGGCGCAACCTGTGACGTAGCCGGCAAGCGTAACCGATGACACCCCGCACTTTGCGCCTTGTATGGCGCCCCCACAATCTGCGCTACCCATGGCGCCGCCGATGGGGGCAAGCTTTGACGCAACCAATGAGACCAACCAGTGACACCGATGTATCTGCACCACCCATGGCGTGACCTATGACGCAACTAATGGCGCAACCCCGTCCGTGACAGCAGCCTGCGTCACCGAAATATATGCCCCAATCATGGCGCAACATGTAGCTGTAGCCTATGAGGCAACCAATGGGCGCAACCTGCGACACACTAAACTCAACGCCACCCTTGGGCGCCACCCATCGCTAAACAGAATATGGAAGCAACCCAACCTATGATACCCTGCAACCTGCCTCGCATCATGCTCATTTTCTGAAGTCAGGGGTAAGAAACACTACGTGCAAACAGTGCTTGGGGAGCAATGTTGACCTCGCAGCATCGTTCGTGCAATGATTGGGAATACATCTACCCTTTACCAACATGTGTATTCACATCGAGAGGCGACAGCACACACCCGCGGGTGCAAACAAGTTGATTATGTAATGGTTGCTTGCCTTTCTCTGTCGCAGCCACAGCTGCACAACGTGATTGTAGCTCCTCTGGCTGCCTAACAGCCTCTGGCTCTCTAGTTTGCAGCATACTGCTTTAAGCTTCCTTCTAGCTTACTTCTCTAACTTCTGATATTTTTTTCGACGGCGCGCTAGCGTTAGAAAGCCCAGGGTTCGCTCAGGACCAACTTCACCCTAAAATGACCACAGCCCTCACAAGCCCCTCCGGAAAACCCTCCGGGGAAGATTCCTGGAGGTTTCTTTCGGAAGGTTTCAGGAAGGATTTGGTAGGGTTTCGGTCGTTTTGGAAGAGCACCAATCCATAGCGAACCCTGGACTTTCCAACGGTAGCCTTCCTTGTGGCTGGCCTGTACGCAGTATCCAAACTGCCTGGGACTGGCATCGCACGTTTTAGCTCAATTGCTGCTTGGCATTAGCTCGGGCTTTGCTTGCGTCAACATCAGGACGATCTGCCGTTAGATCGCTGTCAATTCGCCGTCAAATAACAATGGCATGTCCTTTATCTCCCTTACGTGTTGCACGCATCAGAGCCATTATCTGGATCTCGCCTTCCATCGGCGCCCCTCAAAACGAAAGAGACCCCAGCGAATGAGGTCGCGACAGGCTCCTTTCGTTCATGTGATACAGGATAGGGAGGACAGCAACTTGCCGAAAGGGCGGAAGGGTAACCCTGGCGATGTGCGACGGGCAGGGGCAGGCCAACTGGTAGCAGAGGTGGGCGATAGACAGCAAGCGGTGACAAGGATCCAACTCGGGGGGCGCTTTAACTCTTCGCATGGGGCCCCACACGAATCTGTCAGGAACGAGACTCCTTCCTGAGGCAGGTGGAACCACTATCGGGAAAGCGCAGGCGATGGCAACGTCCTTCGAAGCGAAGACAAGAACGACGGATTGGGAGATTGGGCTGGGCTGGCGTCCGGCCCATAGGTGGCTTGCCACCTCGTCGCTCCTACTTCTGCTCGTCGTCGGTGTCCTCCTCCTCCTCCTCCTCCTCCTCCTCGCCCGTGCCGAGCAGATCGGGCAGATCGGGCGCCACGCGCCCAGCAGTGCCCTGCCAGGGCACGGCGAGGCGGCGAGCGTTCCCGCTGCACGGCGGATGTCCGGCTCCTCTGCCCCCCCACCCTAGCATAAGAGCCCATGCCACCCATCCTCGCGTCTCCATGGCCTGGAGCCGGAGCTGTTGTGCACCCCAGCACGGGTTTGGTCAGAGCGAACGTCTGTGTAACGAGCTGCTCGTCCTCGCACAAGGCCCATCTACAAGATCACATCTCCGCTGGGAGCCACGGGCACGTGCAGGAAGCTGGTGAAATCGTGGGCTCCTCCTCCTGCTGCTGCTGAATGATCTGGGGCCTCGAAGAGATGCAGCCTGCCGCTCATTTTCCTCCTCCTCCTCCTCCTCCTGCTCCTCCTCCCCCTCCTCATCCTCCCATTCCTCCTCCTCCTCCTCCTCCTCCTCCTCCTCCTCCTCCTCCTCCTCCTCCTCCCCCCCTTTCCCTCCTTCTCCCTCTTCACCATTGTGCTCCCCGTGTGCCATATGCTCATCGCCGTGACTCTGATTTCTGTTATCCCTTTCTTCTTACTTTTTTGGGGGGGGGCAGGGCTGGAGGGGCGCGCCCGTCGACAAGGGCGGGCCGACGGTGGACTCCGTCTGCGGCAGCGCGGGCTCCTTGGAGGCGGCGGACGGTAAGGGAAGGGGGGGAGAGGGCAGGATGAGGCGCAGGACGAGGAGGGAAAGGAGGGCGAGGAGGGAAAGGGGGGGAGAATGGGGATGTGAGAGGGAGAAGCATGGATGAGGGTGACAAGGAGGGGAGAGAAGGGATGGAGCCTGAGGAGGCGGAGGACGACGAGGGACGGGGAGCCCCGCGTCTCCAGGGAGGAGACGGACGGGATGGAGAAGACGAGTATCTATCCATATCTCTCTCTCTCTATATATACTCCTCTTCCTATATGTTTACAAGCCCGGGCGGGGGGAAAACCCATCCCCCCCCCCCCCAAAAAAAAAAAAAAACGGACTCCCGGGATCTGGGACTTTGGGACCCTCCAGACGGGCCTCGAAGCGGCCCCTGGGCCTCGCAGGGCGTTTTGCCAAGCCTTCCCAGCACAGCTAGGGCGATCAGGGGGGTCATCGGAGACGTCCCAGAGACCCCCAAGACAGCACAAGAGCGCTCCAAGAGTGACCCACGTGACCTCAAGATGGCCCAAGAGGCCTCCAGGACGGCCCCAAAGAGGCCTCCAAGAGCACTCCCAAGAAGGCCCCCCGAGGCAAAAATCATTGATTTTCTTTTAGTTTTTGGTGAATTCTGGGGTTCTCCTCTTTTCGGCTTCCCGACGCTCCAAGACGGCGGTCTTCTGGGCGTCCGAAGCCGCCTGGGAGGCTCCCAAATCGCCCCACAACCATCCGAAAGGGCTTCCAGGCAGTCCAAGAGAACCCCAAAACGGCACAACACGGGTCCAAGATGGCCCTCAGAGAGCCCCATGGCGGCCCAAGATGGCCCAATGACACCCTCCGAAGCATTCCAAATCGTGACCCGGTCGTTGAGGGAGACAGCGGTTGGAGGCAGGGTGGCCCGAGGAAGCCCCCGGAGGCCCCCAGAATACGCCCAAGAGGCCTCCAGAAGACCTCAAGAAAGCCCGAAACAACTTTTGTGAGGCCCCCAGAGGCTCTCCAAGGAGGAGCCCCCGCGAAAAAGAGCTGAGGAGGATGGGGAGAATGCGCAGGGTATGGCGGAAATAAAGAAAAATAAGCATGGAGGAAGGACAACGAATAACATTATTATAGCGGCGATGCCGTAAAAGGCAACCAGGAGTTATCGCAATATTGTCGGCATGACCTGCCTGCTATTTCACCTGCGTGCCAAACTTCAAGCACCAAGGTGCATGGCGCGAAGCGCCACTGCAGTCTTGTGTGTGTATACATATATATATATATATATATATATATATATATATTGAGACCACGCGCGCGCTACGCGCGCGTTCTAGTCACGGCATCATGGCGCCAAAGGATGCCACGGCAAACAATGCCACCGACAGCGGAAATCGTTCCAGAGGGTCCTGACGGCCGACCCTCCTGGAACCTGGGAAATCTCGTACTGTGCTGCATCCTTCCTGGCGTAACTCCGTCGCAGCGTTTCATTGCCCGAAGGTTCCAGAACTGCCTGGACTGGACCAGGCTGAATCGAACGGCCGCGAACCAGCGTCCCCTCCAAGACGAATCGAACCGAACCGGAATGGTCGCGGTAAAAGCCCGAAACGAACTGAACCAAGTCGTTCGTGGACCGAATGGGGCCGAATCCGGCCGATACAGACCGAACTGGAGCGGTAAATCCACCCCAGGGGGTGGGGAACGAAACCCGAGGCCCAGCAGAGAACTGCCCGGACTCCCCCCCCTTGCTCGTCATCGTTGTCGGCCTCCTCCTCGCCCTTTGTCTTCGTGCTCGCCCTCGTCCTCGTTCGCCTTCGTCTCCCCCTGGCCTCTTCCTCCTCCTCCTCCTCCTCCTCCTCCTCCTCCTCCTCCTCCTCGTCCTCCTCCTTCTCGTCCGCCCTTGATGGATTCTGGACCCTGGGCTTTGGACCCCTGGCCCCGGGGACCTGCGTTGATGCCTGTAGAGCCATCTTCGGCCCCTGGAATCCTCCACGATCCCTGTACCCCTCCTCGGCCCCGCGAGTGCGGCCCCAGGACCCCACGTCCAGAAGGAGGAAGAGCACGAGAGGGAGAGCAGGAGGGAGAGGAGGAGGAGGAGGAGGAGGAGGAGGAGGAGGAGGAGGAGGAGGAGGAGGAGGAGGAGGAGGGGCAGGGGAGGAGAAGCAACATCAAAGGAGGAGGTGCAGGAATAGGAGCAGGAGGAGGACGAGCAAAAGCAGGAGAGGGAGAAGGCGGAGGACTGGGGGTGATGGGGGAAGGCAGGGGGGAGAGGAGGAGCAGGAGGATGAGTGGCAGGAGGAGGAGGAGCAGGAGGAGCAGCGGCAGCAGCAGCAGCAGCAGCAGCAGCACCAGCACCAGCAGCAAAAGCAGCAGCAGGTGCAGGAGGATCATGGGAAGGAGGGGGAGGAGCAGGATGGGGAGGAGGAGGAGGAGGACGAGGAGGAGGAGGAGGAGGAGGAGGAGGAGGCGGACGACGACAACAACGACGACGACGATGATGATGACGACGACGACGACGCAGAGGAGAGGCACCCCCACCCCCAACCCTCCCCCTCGATCCTATTCCTCGTTCTCCTCCTCCGCCTTCTCCTCCGCCCTCTCCTCCTCGTCCTCGTCCTCCTCCTCCTCCTCCCTCCTCCTCCTCCTCCTCCTTCTTCCTCCCTCCTCCTCCTCCTTCCCTCCCTCCCCTCCTCCTCCTCCTCCCTCCCTCCTCCTCCTCCTCCTCCTCGTCCTCGTCCTCAACCTCCTCCTCCTTCTCCTCCTCCTCCTCCTCCTCAACGTTCCCCTCCTCCTTGTCCTCGTCCTCCTTCTCCTCCCCGTCGTTTGAGCTCTGTGACAAGTCTTTTGCTCGGTCGTGGGACGCCGAGACGCAATCAGCAGTGTCGAGACCGCCCCTGGCGACCGCAACAGGCCTCCAGGCCTCTCTTGTGGGTGTTCGGGGCTCCTCGCTGGCGCCGCTTCAGCCGTGATGGGGCACGGTTGGGAGCCTCTGGAGCCGCAGCGGGGCAGTCTTGGGCCTCTAGGACGAGCTTGCACGGACAGTCGCGAAACAGAAATGGCTGGGTGGCCAGAAACTTCGGAGAAACCATGGGACAAGCTAGGACCTGAGCTTCTGGGGGCCCTTGTGGGAAGCCTCGAGGAAGCCTTTTGTGCTGGCGAGGTGGCCTGTGGAACTGTCATGGGGCGATCGTCGGCGTCGCGCAGGCCTGGGAGCGACTCTGGCGGCTCGTGAAGCCTACTTGGGGGCGCTGGCCCTCCCGTGCGGAGCCGTCTTGGATCGCGGTTGGGAGCCCCAGGGGCCCGAAACACATCGATCTGGACGTCCTCTTGGGCTGCCGTGCAGCGTGGGGATGCAGAACAAACTGGATGAGTGAAAACGTAAAAAAAAAAAAACGATTGGACAAACAAAGAGTAAGGCCTCAGAGAGCCCTCTGGGGAGGCCTCTTTGAAGCATAACGTGTCGACGAAGTCGCTCGGGGGGCTGTCTTGGGGTGATCGTCGGCGTCGCAAGGATCTTGAAGCGTCCCGAGCCGCTCTGTGACCCTACTGGGGCGCGCCGGTCCTCCCATGCGGAGCCATCTGGGGACAAGGTTGGGAGCGTCTGGGGCCGAAACGGGACGGCTGGGGCTGCTGCGCAGCGCGGGGATGCCGAACAGGCTGCATGGAGAGAAACGTGGAAAAAACGATGGGACAACCAAGTGTGTGAGTTTTGGGGAGCTCTCCTGGAGGCCTCTGGGAGGCCTGTGGGGAACCTGGGGCACCAGAGGGGAGCAGCCCTGGAGTTCCCTGCAACCTCTTGGGGCTCTGGTGGCTCCGGGCCGGCGAAACCCTGCAAAAAAACACAAGGAACAAAAAAAACGAGGCCCCCCATGCGCCCGCCGCCGAGGTCCCTAGGCGGGACCCCCCCCGGAGCTCTGGTGGCTCCGGGTAGCCGAAACCTTGTAATAAGCACAAGGAAAGCAAGGCCCCGGGCCCACCAGGCCCCGCCGAGGACATGGGCGGGACACCCCCGGCCACATCCCCCGGGGCTCTGGTGGCTCCGGGTGGCCGAAACCTTCTTTTTTATAGACAAATAAAAAAGCACAAGGAAAGCAAGGCCCTGGGCCCCCCATGCCCTGCCGAGGTCCCTGCAGGCATGGGCGGCCCCCCCCGGCCACGTTCCCTGGTATATATCTATATATATACACATATATATATATAACACACATATATGCACACATATATATATATATATATATGTGTATGTGTGTATATATATATATGTATGTGTATATATGTGTGTGTGCATCTCTCTCTCTATATATATATATATATATATATATATTCCTCTACTTATATTGTTATTCGCCGGGGCGAAGGGAAAACCCGTCAGCCCCCCCACCAAAACTGGACTCCCGGGATCTGGAGCTTTGGGACCCTCCGGACGGGCCTTGAAGCGGCCACCGGGCCTCGCAGGGCGCTTCGCCAAGCCTTCCCATCACACCTAGGGCGATCAGGGAGGTCATCGGAGACGTCCCAGAGAACCCCGAGACAGCACAAGAGCGTTCCAAGAGTGACCGACGTGACCTCAAGATGGCCCAACAGGCCTCCAGGACGGCCCCAAAGAGGCCTCCAAGAGCACTCCCAAGAAGGCCCCCCGAGGCGCGAGTCATTTATTTTCTGTTGGTTTTTGGTGAATTTGGAGGTTCTCCTCTTTTCGGCTTCCCGACGCTCCAAGACGGCGGTGTTCTGGGCGTCCGAAGCCGCCTGGGAGGCTCCAAAATCGCCCCACAACCATCCGAAAGGGCTTCAAGGTAGTCCAAGAGAGCCCCAAAACGGCACTACACAGGTCCAAGATGGCCCGCAGAGAGCACCATGGCGGCCCAAGATGGCTCAAAGACACCCTCCGAAGAACTCCAAATGGTGGCTCGAGGAAGCCCCCGGAGGCACCCAGAATACGCCCAGGAGGCCTCCAGAAGGCCTTAAGAAAGCCTCAAACAACTTTTGTGAGGCCCCTAGAGGCTCTTCAAGGAGGAGCCTCT